GCCCTAGCTGTCCTCGAACTCACTCTGAGGACTAGGCTGGCCTCCAACTCAGAGATCTGCTTGCCTCTGTGTCTAAGTCCTGAGATTAAAGGTATGTGCCCCATCCCATGATATTTTTTAATGAGAAGTATTTAATATAATAATTGTTGCTTTTTGGTATTTACAAAATCCTTTTAACCACCAAAGACATAAAGGAATTGTAACATATTACTTTTCTGAGTGTTTTTAATTTTGCCTTTCATGTTTATATCCTTAAGCTACTTGAAATTAACTTTTTGTAGTATGACTTCAATCTCATTATTTCATTTTGCTGAAAGTTATAATTTTCCACACATGAACTTTGAGCTGAACTTCTGTACTGAAAAGCAGTTCTAGGAATCAAGAATAGCAAATAGTTGTCATAAATTCCAAGAAGCAATAAATTCCAAGGAGCAAAAGCAGATTCTGAACAATGACTACCTTGAACTGAAGCCAGCCAACCATAAAAGGCATGGAAATGTTGAAAGACAGCTGTGTGAGTACCTATCCTGTGCTCTGAGTCAGCCACCTTGCCCTCCAGTACTTTTCCATTCTCACCTTTGCCCCAGGAAGCATACCAGCTAATTTTTGCTCAAGGAGTCACTATGTATTCAGTCCTTCCAACTACAGTAGTGTGGATCCAGTATTTGCTTCACCCCTAATTAGTTTCTGTTTCTGTTTATAAATGAGTACCTAGTATGGCTATTACTACTCAATGAGACTATTACTGTTCAAAGCCACCTCAGTTATATTATCAAGTGTCTGAATATGTGTAATGTATTTCTAGGCTCCTCTCTTCTATTTCATTGACTCACTTTACATGCCTCAGCCACACTCCTTTCATCGCCATACCATAAGGTACTACAATTTAGAAGATTGGTTCTCCAACATTTTCTCAATGGTACTCTGGTTATTCTACTCATTCCACCCTCTCTGATTCTCTCTCCCTCTATTCTATTTCAATTTGAAATTTGCTTAAATTTATGTTATGCATTTGAGTGTTTTTGCCTGAATATAAGTATACGCATCATGTGTGTGCCTATACCCTTGGAAGCCAGAGGCGGTGTCAGATCAGCAGGAATGGGATTTATACATGATTGTGAGTCACCATGTAGGCACGTGCTGGTAACTGAACCTAGGTCTCCTGCAAGAGAAAGAAGTACCACTACCCAGTGAAACATATTTCCAGTTCCCCTTCCTTTTATTTGTTCTATGTGATAGTGTTACTGTGTATTCCAAAATGACCTTGAACTTATGGAAATCCTCCTGCCTCAGTCTTTTGAATGCTGGAATCACAAAGATGTGCCACCATACCCTGGCTACTTTGACTATTTTTGTTTTATTATAATTCCATACATATAAAAAATAAATTGATAAGTTCCATAAACTTTCCAGAATTGCATTGACTCTGTAGAATAGATTCAGCTCCGACAACTTGAAGAAATGGAGTCTTCTAAATTATAGACAAATTATGTCTTTATTAATAACTCTTCTTTAATTCTGTAGAGTTTTATACTTCTCTTCAAGAAGGATAAGTGTATAGTTCACTAATCCCTTGATAGTCGACTGTTTTAGATATTACAATGAAACGGTTGTTTTAATTATTAAGATTTGTTTTAGTTTTAAGTATGTGTGCATGTGTGTGTACATGTGCCCTCAGAGTACAGAAGATGGTGTTGGATTCCCTGGGGTTAGAGTTGCAGGCACTTGTGAGCAATCCTATGTATGTACCAGGATCTGGATCAGGTCTTCTGGAAGAGCAGCAAGTATTTTTAACTAAAGCCATATTTCTATTCCAATAAATGGTATTTCTTGTTTGTTTCTTTGGTTGATTAATTTTTTGTTACAAGCTATTTATTCATGGTATTTTATTACAGCATCCTGAACGGATGAAGACAAGCTATGTAGTGGTGAGTGTTAATTTTAAATGGGTGAATTTTGTAGTATGTAACTATCATTCTTTTTCTCCATTTTTTTTATTGAGAAAAGGAGAAAAAAGAAAAAAAACAAGTTTCCACCTCCTCCCAGCCTCCCATTTCCCTCCCCCTCCTCCCACCCTTCTCCCACTCCTCCCACCCTTCTCCCCCTCCACCCAATCCTCTCCCCCTCCCTCTCCAGTCCAAAGAGCAGTCAGGGTTTTCTGCCCTGTGGTAAGTCCTAGGTCCTCCCCTCTCCGTCCATTCCTAGGAAGGTGAACATCCAAACTGGCTAGTGATGAATGGAGAGAATACTGGAAGAGACTACTGGAATTGAGGGGCATTTGAGAAGCCATGTAGAAACCTAATACAGTGGAAACTCCCTAGAATCTACAAGAGTGACCCTAGTGAAGTCTCCTAGTAATGGGGGATATAGAGCCCAAATCTCCCATCTTCTATAACTAGGCAATTCTCCCAGCGTTGGGACTGAGATATCAAGCCAGTACAAAACCTCCAACCTACATTCTGTCCTGCCTGCTCAATATGCTGGGCTAATAGTGGCACAGAACTTGTGGGAGTGGCCAAGCAATGACTGATCCAACTTGAAGTCTACACATACCATGAGAGGTAGCCCACACCTCACACTGCATGGATGCCCAGGAACCAGAGACTGGTTATCCCAGAGACTCAGGATAGAACCAAATATCACTGGCACTTAAAAAAGTCAACAAAAATGATTTCTAGTGATATTCTGCTATACTCATAGATCAGTGCCTAGCATAATCGTTCTCAGAAAGGCATCATCCAGCAACTGATGGGAACTGATAGACACACCCACAGCCAAACACTAGAGGGAACCAGGGGGGAATCCTTAGGAAGATGGGGAGGAGAGGAAGGATCATAAGAACCAGAGGGGTTAAGGACATCAGGAGAACACACTCATAGAATCAACTAACCAGAGGTCATAGGGACTCAAATATACTGAAGTGGCAATCACAAGCACTCTATATGGGTCTGAGCTAGGTCATCTCCATATATGTTATGCTTGTGTAGCTGTCTCTGAGTCTTTTTCCTGCTCCTGGAACCTATTTCCTCCTACTGGATTGCCTTGTCTAGCCTTGGCGAGGGTTTGTGCCTAGTTTTACTGTAACTTGTTACGCCATGTTCAGTGCATATCACTAGGAGGCCTGCTTTTTTATTTATTTTATTTTATTTTATTTTTGGATTTTTGAGACAATGTTTCTCTGTAGTTTTTGGTGCCTGTTCTGGAACTAGCCCAGGCTGGCCTCGAACTCACAGAGATCCGCCTGCCTCTGCCTCCCGTGTGCTGGGATTAAAGGCGTGTGCCACCACTGCCCAGCGTGCTTCTTTATTTTTTGAAGAGAAAGAGGAGTGAATCTTGGGGAGAGGGGAGAGAGGGTGGGGATTGGGAGTAGAGGAGGGAGAGAAAACTGCAGTTGGAATGTAATGTATGAAAAAAAGAATTTATTTTTTTTTAAATAAAATAAGAACTATGGAAACAAAACAAAAACCTCAGATCCTGATGTTTGAACAGTAAGTAATCCTAGCCAATGAGTCATCTTCCCATTCCCTTATAGTTTAAGGATTTTTTTGTTTTAGAAAGTATTTGATGCAGTACAAGTTGGTCTCAATTCACCGTGTAGCAGAAGATGGATTTAAACTCAAGATCCTCCTGTATTTACCACCCAAGTACTGAGACTACAAGTATGTGCCAGTATGCCTGGTTATCTTTTGGGTTTTTTTTTAAAGAAGTTTTTATTTCTCCTTATTTATTATTTACATTTGGAGACAAGGACTTTGTATCCCAAGCTACCTTCAAACTCACTATGTGGCTGAGGGTGACAATGAATTTCTGCTCCTCTTACCTCTACCTCTTAAATGCTAGGAATATATATTAGAAGGGGTTTTTTTTTGGTTTTGTTTTTATTTTGTTTTGTTGGTTTTGGCATGCTGGCTAGGCAGTCCACTAACGAGGTTCATCCCCATTTGCATATCACATAAAGCAATGTCCCAATTTCACCTTTTCCAGTTCCATATTCAGTTAATAAAAGACCCTCTTTACTCATCTATTTTTATTGTTTAGTACCCTTGTATATGTACACAGGTGTGTTACAGGGTTGTTCATTCTGTAACACTGTTCGATGTATTCTTTCTCTGAACCAATCTCCCCTCCTTCCTTTTCCCCTCCCCTCTTCTCTTGCCTTTCATTCTTTCTCCACCTAAAACTAGTTCCTCTAGGCATATGTGTATGGTTTAAGTTATTAATAATGTGAACTCATGGTTTTAGGACAGGGTTCCCAAGGAGCCTTTAGGCCTAGTAAACATTAATTTTGCTCAGAAAGCCTTTTATTTGTCTCCAGGGCATTTGGATGTTTAGGGATCTTACTCTGATTCTTAAAAATTGTTTGTTCCATTGGCTTTGGCTGATTCCTAGAAATTGTGTGGCATCAGCAGTGGGAGAGTAAGTAAAAACACTCTTGAGGCAATCCCATCTTTCATCACTGAACAGCATACACCAATATAAATGATGGTACCAGCAGCACAGGAGCTTAAAGGCATTTTCACAAGTCTAAACTTGAAAGGTGTATTGGCCTGTGACCACACTGATTTAAGAGCCTTGAATCTCGTCAACCCCCTGTATCCTTCAGGCTTCATTGGAAAGCTGGCTGGTTCCTGATGGTCCCAGCTATCTGGATGTAAAATCAACTCCTGGGTTGCCTTAGCTAGGAACCAGGGGCCTGCTGGTTGCAACTCATGGATAGTAAAGGGGCAGCAGATGCAGTAGCTGAACGTTTCTGGATCTGCTCCGGTATTTCAGGCCTGCGGGTAAAATCGAGATGGAATTCTATCTTCTAAAGCTGCAGATTGCACAACTCAGGCCCGCAGAGGCGTGGCAAGAGCAGAGCGTCCCAGCAGCCCTAAGGTACGCCTTCTCCAATCGCTAGGCAGGAGAAAGGCCAAGGCGTGGGTGGGCTTTGGGGCGGGACAGGGCGGGAAGTAGGCGTAGCGTGGGTACTGCTCCACCCAGTCCTTCTGGCTCTTAGCCTGCGGGGTTGGGGCTGGCGCAGCTCTAGTTCCTTTCCTCCTCTGCCGCCTGCGCTGCCTCCGCCGCCTCCGCCCGCCTTCGCCTGCCTCCGCCTCAGTCTCCCACGCCTCCGAACAGGCCGCGGTTACCGGTTTGCGATTCCCGGGCTTAAACTCTACAGCTCCAGTGTCCCGGTGTCGGTGCTCCTGCGAGATGACGCTCAAGTCGAGCTAAGGCGAGGGTGGGAATAGCATGCGCACCGCGCTCTCGGACCTCTACCTGGAACACTTGCTACAGAAGCGCAACCGACCTGAGGTTAGCTGGACCTCTGGGGTCCTCGGGGTTCGGGTTGGGTCTCGGCTCCAGGCCTTTCCATCTACTTCTGGATTTGTCCTATCCGTAGCCTTGTTCCTGGGTGATCTGCCCCGGAGGACCTGATCTTGAGTGTCCTGTTCCCAGGGTGAAGGCCTTCGCTTTGGGCCGAGTTCATACTGAGATCTGGGTGTGGTGAATAGTTGTCTGGGGCAGCCCTCCTAGGTGAAAAATCCCAATAGGCTGACTAGGACCAAATGCTTACTGAGGTCAAAGAAAACTTGCTCATGGATGGTAACAGAAAGACTTTAAGAAGAAAAATGAAAGACTTTAAGGAACACATCCAAGAGAAGATCTGCCTGGTTGGTTGTTGATCATTTGTGTTCAGTCTCACAGACATTGTGAAAGCCAACTTCGTGCTCTAAAGAACTCGCCCTGTGTTCCTTTACATTTCATTTCAGCAGGTCCCCTTGTACTTCGTTGTAAATTAGTGTAGCCTTCATATTCCAGTGTTAAACAGTAAATAACTACTAATCTGCGGAGTCAGAGGCCCCCAGAAGAGGCTATGGATTATATTAGATGTAGCATGTCTTACTCAAATTCAGTAGGTTATAGTGTGAACCCTGCTTACTTCTACTCCTTTACCCTGCTCCCTCTACTTTCTAGTCCCTTCTGGGAGATTTATTGAGTTGCTTACGATACAGCAAAGCCGGATTTGTGACAAGCAGGTACAATTGTTAAACAACATACATTACTTAAACAAAATGTTCAAAGATAATACTAGGTGAAACTGAGAAAAATATTTTTGGTTGTGATTCTAGTCTTTAACGGCTGAGCCATTTCTCCAGCTCAGAAACTGGGAAAAATAAAACCAAAAATCTTTACAGGAATGGTACCTTGAGCAAAAAACCCTCTTATGTGTTTTGATCACCTTTTTTTTTTTAGATGAAGGGAAAAAAAAAGGAAAAGTGAAGAATTGGTAAGAAAAAAATGTGTTTATGACAATTGTATTCTGGTTCCCTGATTCTTTTCTTCCCGTTTTCTTTTCCTAACCTCTGGTGTCATTTACCCTCCCCCAGCCAGTTTTGGAAGTACGGTTATTTAATCTTGCCTTTTCTATGTTCCACACCCACGGTCCTCTTTTAGTAACCCTGACAGAGCAGTTCACTGCTTAGGGGAAGAACCTGTGCACCAACTAAATGTCAGGAAATTTTATCTTTCCTGCTGACAAGTAGGAAGACATTTTGCTTTTTGTTTGTTGTTTAAGGCCTCACACTGTAGTTCAGGCTAGCTTGTAACTTTATTTATTATCCTGACAGGCCTTGAACTCCTGGCATTTCTGCCTCAGTTTCCAGAGTGATGGAATTATAGGCATGAGCCAACAAGTCAGACTTCAGGACATTTTTAATTGTCACAACTAAATGTATTTAACTTTTTACAGCAATGAATTAGCAGACCCCCAAATGTCATGACTACTGAAAGAAATATCTGTTCCTGATGTTCTAGTTCAGTGTCTTATCAAAGAGCAAAGAGCAGAACTTATGTGGTAAAACGCTAATCTACTTAAGCCTCTGTGACCACAATAAAACCAGATTCCTATCTGTAAGGTATCTAAGTCTTACCGGTTTTAAAAATTAGAGTCATAAATATCCTGGAAGTGAAGGACAGGAAAGGAAGAAAACCAACAGATCATACTAAGTAGTGAGAAAATTGGGGTAAATACTAAATAATTTTTAAATGACATTTTATTTTCTAGTGTACATTCTCTGAAAACACAGACTTTGAATGGAAATATCCCATTCTCAAATGAGACAACCAGACCCAAGAAGGTGCTCTTTCTTTGGTAGAATGATAATCAGGAGTAGATTCACTGACCGTGCTGCTCCCTTCTGACTCAGCCAAGACTTGCTTTCTGCTATTGTACATGGAATGTATGGCATTGAACCTTGGTGTTTTCTTTATAGGCTATTCCATTTTTCCTGGAGTACTGTTTGCCCCGTACATCCTGTATTATACAAAATGCAGGCTTCAGCAATGCTGGGCTCTCTGCAGTGTTTCACAGCCCCCTACACCTCCTTCAGAGGAAACATCTGTAGCACAGTTCAAAGGGCAGAGACAGTTTCTCAAAGGAAGTTGAAATAAAAAAAAATAGATGAAAATAACTTGGCAGGGGTGGGGGCAGGGGTAATGGGGGTGAATAGAGGAGGGACAAATATAGTTGACTTTCTCATTTAAAGTAATTGGCTTCAGAACAAGTGGCAGTGAACTGGTGAGCACAGGAATGAACAAACATTTGTTCAGTCTACTGTTAGGCCCTCTGCCAACTGCTTCCACATGGAGAACTTAGAATGCCCAGTCCAAGGAGATGAGTGACCCTAAATACAGAAGAAGAGCCTAGGAGAACCTTAACACCACCTGCCAGTCTTGTGTAGATGCCTGGCTGAGCCCATCTGATGTCCACAAGTACCCACTATTCACATGGACATAACTGTTTCACTTTGTGAGGGGAAAACTACAATAAAAAAGCTAGAGAAGCCATGAAACTAACAATTCCCTAAGGAAGTATAGAGCTTAGAACTATTTAACTATAAATGAAAAGAACTGGAGACACGGGAAAGCCCAAGAATCAGGATTTTTCTGGCAGGTATTGTCTTAAAATCATACATTAACTAGAGCTTTGTTTCTCAGGCACTAAATACATATATCAATCCAAAGGCCACATGTTTAAAGGTCCTTGGCTGATTTGCTTATCTGTCCAGTGCACTCTGGACATCTGCACAGACTTCTTCCACTGAAATAAAACAGGAAACACAAGCAGCTCCATTCCACCTAAAACACTGAACTGTATTTCCAAATACTTGGCCCTTGGTTTCTGCATAGCCATTAGACCAGTGTTGAGATTATGTATAAAACAACATTCGTCAAACCATTTCTTTGTTTTTATTATTTGTTTATTTGGTTTTCTTTTAAGATAAGGCCTTACTATGTAGCTTTAGCTGGCCCGGAACTCACTATGTAGACCAGGATAGCCTCAAACTCAAAACAGATCTGCCTGACTCTGCCTTCAGAGTGCTGGGTTTTAAATCATACCTTTAATCCTACCATGCCTGGCAGTTTTTGTTGTTTGTTCTGTTTTATTTTTTAAATATCATCTCACTGTATAGCCTAGGCAGATTTCAAACTCTTGGCAGCCCTCCTTGTCTCTGACTCCCGAGAGTTGAGATTACAAACCTGCACCACCAGGCCTAGCTGATTAAAATTAAGTTCTTAGCTGGGTGGTCATGGTGCATTCCTTTAAACCCAGCATTCAGGAGGCAGAGGCAGGTGAATTTCTGTGAGTTCAAGGCTAGCCTGGTCTACAGAGCGAGTTCCAGGACAGTCTCCAAAGCTACACAGAAAAACCCTGAATTGAAAAACCAAAAAAGAAAAGAAAGAAAAATTAAATTCTTGTCTCTACTTTGTGATCCATATTTTGAGGTCAAAAAGTAATGTTTACAAACCATTTGCAGTAAAGTAATTCATAAGCCTTAGACTTCAGGAGTTAGTTAAAATAGAAGCACGGGATTCAGAGTTCAAGAAGACAACATGATACCAGGTCTTGTTTTGTAGCCCAGGATTGTCACAAACTCACTTTGTATTCCAGGTTACCCTCAGACTTATTCTTCTGCCCCAGCCTCCCATGTGCTAGGATTACCATGTGGTAGGTGCTACTATACCTAGTTTATAAATAAGACTTTATTGAAACTATATAATAAATTTTGAAACTAGTTAGACTGATATTTACCACTTCTCTTTCAAAATTAGTTTAACTATTCATAGATAGGTCTATGACCTTCCATCATGTTTATAATTTTAAAAGACCAAATTGTCTAGAGGTAATTTGACTTTAACTTCAGCGAATCAGGTAAGTGAAACAACTTGACATCTGACACCAGCCTCTGCTGCAAAGATATGTAGTCACAATAAAGAAAATTATAGCTAGAATGTGGTGGCACATGCCTTTAATTCCAGCACTCAGGAGGCAGTAGCAGGCAGATCTCTGTGAGTTTGAGGCCAGTCTGGTCTACAGAGCGAGTTCCAAGACAGGCAGGGCTACACAAAGAAACCCTGCCCCCCCAAACAAAAAACAAAAAAAAAGATAGAAAATTATCTATTGAGAGCTCTCCAAGACCAGCTGGACTGTGTCTGAAAAAGCATGGGATAAAACTGGACTCTCTGAACATGGCGAACAATGAGGGCTGATGAGAAGCCAAGGACAATGGCACGGGGGTTTGATCCTACGTAATATGATGGCTTTGTGGAAGCCTAGCCAGTTTCGATGTTCACCTTCCTAGATATGGAAGGAGGTGGGAGGTCCTAGGTCTTACCACAGGGCAGAAAACCCTGACTGCTCTTTGGACTGGAGAGGGAGGGGGAAAGGAGTGGGGGGAGGGGGAGAAAGGTGGGAGGAGGGGACGTAGGGTGGGAGGAGGGGGAGGGAAATGGGAGGCTGGGAGGAGGTGGAAACTTGTTTTTTTTCTCCTTTTCTCAATAAAATATATATATAAAATTATATCTTTTTTTGATTAGCTGTCCAAGCAGATATTACTTTTGATGTTCACCTTTCTAAGGGGACAAGATTAAGTACTCTTCTCCATCTCTTTAAACTTCTCAGCCTCTAGCACATATATATCTTAATTTGTTACATTGCTTGCATTTACAATATGTTCTTTATAACTTTTTTAAGATTTGTCTGTCGGTGAATCCAAAAATGTGAAAGTCAGTGATTTCCAGATCCCTGATATTGTTTGGGATGGCAAGATGTTATCTAGCTAAATTCTTACTTTTCCAGCCTTTTTTTGCAGCTTAAGGTGGTTGTACGGCTGTGATCTGGAGCTCTGGCCTATGAGATAAGAAAAGCTGTTCTCTGGAGAAGTTCTGATCTGGGTCCAACTGACCTGGCTCCTCTGCCTTCTTGCCTTGAGAGTGGAGCTGATCCACAGAGTCACAGCTTTTGAATATGTTTCCAGCCCATGACTCCCTTCTTGGATTTCTGACCTCAGACTGATGGTCTGTGGAGTAGTATGGCCCTTCTTCTTAGCTAAAGACTTGAGTGATCAGTGACTGTTCCTTTGCCTACTTTCTGTCTTTTAGAGAATTATTGAATGAAATCTGTTATCCTTGGTGATGCTTTAATGTTTTCTCCATGGGTGATATGAAAAGTGTGTGTTCTCTTTCTATTCCCACTTTGTTCTGAAAACCTGGGTGTGGTGGTGTGTGCTTATAATCTTGGTGTTTGGAAGTCTGAGTCAGGAGGATTGTGATTCCAGCCCCCTTTGAGATACATAATGAGACCCTGTCTCTAAAGGTTCAAATAGCTTGACTAAGAAGTAAGGGAGGATGAGATCCACATAAGTAGTCAGGCTGCCAACTTAAATGGGAATTCTACTCATGTCAGAAAATTCCATCTTGCCAGTTGTAGAAAGGAATGTTGTTTTGAGAACTTGGTGGGAACAGTAGAGTTCCGTTTTCCTGAATATAAATTAATCATTGTGATATAAAATGGAGGGATACATGAGGCTTTGAATGCTGAGTATTTTCTTTAGTGGCATCTTTCAGTATTACTAGTATGTCAGCACTCCCAACAGAGAGCTATACAGTAGCATGGTAACCATAGCCCACATTTACCAACTGCTTCTAAGTATTATATTAAGCTTGCAACCCAGTAAAGTCATCCTGTTACTATCCTCATTTTACAGTTGAAGAAACAGAAGTGCAAGAAGGTCAAGAATCCAAAGTTAGCCAGCAGTTAGTAAAAGAGCCAGAAACCTAATTCAGACAGTACGTTTTTCTGTTAAGTGATGTGTTCTGGGTTTTTAAGTTCTACTTAATATATTATTTTGCTAAATTATTTTATTTTGTTTATTTATTCATGTATTTTTTTTTCAAGGCAGGGTTTCTTTGTATAGCCCTGTAGACAAGGCTGGCCTCGAACTCACAGAGATCTGCTTGCTTCTGTTTAAGTGCTACAATTAAAGGATAAATCTAAATTATTTTCTTAAAATAATTTATACACATAGTTCATAATTTGCAAGGTGTGGTGAGTAAAGTCAGCTCATGAAAGCAATTTCCTTCTCACTCCATCTTGTAGCCAACCACTTTCTCCCTTTCTCGAAATAATCACTGTGCCTTCCAAAGATTATTTGTATGTTTCTAAGTAAATGTGAATACACTAATTTTTTCACTGTTTGTGGTGAAGGTAGCATAATTATCTTCACATTGTTTTATTTTTGATGTAAACAGTTTAAAAATTACCTCTAAGCCCCCTTGTCAGGGTTACATGGTGTCTTCCCACACAATGACTATACTGCCACTGGATTGTTGTAGATTACCTCGGATTTGTGTAAAGTTCTGTGTTGCTAAGTTAATTTTCAAACTCCAACCTTTTCAATAGTGTTACAACATAAATGCCATATGACCATGTCATGTGAGTTTTGGACATTTTAGCTGCAAAACAAGGCAGTTTCTCTTTCTCAACACTTCCCTCATCTGAGGTTACCCATACCCAGTAAATGAAACTATTTCAGTTCTCATTGTCCTTTCCATTACAAAGGAAGCAGTAAGTTGACAGTTTTTGAAGAGCATACCCATGTTATAAGGCATAACGTCTCACAAGTTTCTAGGCAAGACCTCCTTGCCCCTCATCTTTCCACCCTTTTCCCTCTGTGCATGGGCGAGCCACTGAACTTATTTCAGCAGTGTATACATTCTCACATAAGACTTCTTTCTCCCAGAAAAATGAATGGCAAGATACACTTATCACAGCTCTATTTATTGAGAAGACCTTCCACATCTCCCAGTGTCCTTGAGGGCTACCCCTGGGTGTGGCTAGTATATAGCTGCTCATCATTTTAAGCTTGTGTCCACATACCAAACTCATACTAGTTCTTCCTCCTCTGACTTGCTGTGTTGGTTTTGATTTAATATTTTAGGTACAAACATTTGTAGAATAAGAAAGGTAAAATATCTTCAAATTACTCTCAAGTAATTGAAACTTTAAATTGTATGACATTAAAAAACAATGCTACAAGACCTATACAGGATTGAGTCCATCAGTATTTCTTTGTGTATATATTGGACCCTCCTTGTGGGTCTTTTGGCGGTTAATGATTACTGAATAGGTGGTGTAGTCATTAGTAAGCTGCTCTCATCTGTTCTTATGCAAATAACTAATGAAATTCAGAGGAGAGATACCCCAATAATATTTTCCCAGTTTATGTGCCTACCTGCAGGTACAAGAGTTCCAGTTCCGTACCTAATGGCTTGCCTTTTTACGATTTTTTACACTGTCTCTCTCTGTGTGTTATATGTATACATGCATACAATTGTGTGCAACCATGCACTAACACAGAAGCCAGATGTCTTGCCATAGCACTTTTTTTTATCATACTTTCTCTAGACAGGCTCTCTCACTGAACCTAGAGCTATACTGGTGGCCAGTAAGCCATGCTGGTACTCATCTTTACCCCAGACAGAGCTGGGATTATAGATGGCCTTGCTGGGCTTTTTATGTGGGTGTTGAGAATTTATACTCAGGTATTCTTACTTGGACAGCAAGCATTTTTACCTACTGAGCCATCTCCCCAGCTCCCTTTTCATTCTCCCACTCTTTTAAAGTATTTATTTATAGTTTATGGGTGTATAAGTTTATGCACCACCTTTGTGCCTGGTGCCCACAGAGGCCAGAAGAGGGTATCAGATGCTCTTGAACTGGAGTTACAGGTGGTTGTGAGCCACTAAGTAGGTGCTGGGAACCAAACTCAGGTCCTCTGCAAGAGCAACAAGTGCTTTTAACCACTGAGCTCTCTCTCTCTCTCTCTAATCCCCCCTTTTACTCCCTTAATGCTATTCTTCACCAATATTGTATTTGGAAAAATTTAAACTTACTGAAAAGATGAAAAAATTATCATTATGGCTTCTATAATTGACATATTGCTTTATTTGCCTTAACACATATATCTACCTAGAACTACCCATCTATCCCCCTTTTTTTTGCATTTGAAGGCAAGGTGCAGATGTCAGGATATTTCACCCCAAAGAACTTCAGACTGTATATCACTGCCTAGAGTTCATATTTGTTCATGGTGTTTTTGTTTTGGTTTTGGTTTTTTGTTTGTTTGTTTTTTAGTTTTCCAAGACAGTTTTTCTGTGTAAAGTCCTAGAACTCTGATTTGTAGACCAGGCCGGTCTACAAAAAGAGATCCACCTGCCTTTGCCTCTGACTCCCAAGTGCTGGGATTAAAGGTGTGCGACGCCACTGCCTACCTTGTTTATGGTTACTTTTTAAGGTAAATTTTAAATACAGTAAAATGCAAAAATCTTGAGTATACTATTATACACTGTATCATGGCATCAAATATTACCAGCATTCTAATTCTCTTATGCCAGTCCTTTCCCTTCAAGACAACTACTGTCTTAATTATTTACAATAGTTTTGTTTATTCTAAAATCTTACATACATTTTATCATATTGTACATATTCTTTTTAATAAGACTTCCTTTATTCAACAGGTTTCTGAGTTCATCTCTTTTATTTTGTAGTTTGTCTTCTTGTATTCATGAACAACTGGCTTGTGTGTTTTCCTGTGTGTCAACAACTGTGTTGTCTCCTTTTGGGTGGACTATTGGGAACACAAACCTGCTATGTACATCTGCATACAAGTTCCTATGTGGACAGATTTTTTTTTATCTTGAATTAACTCCTAAGAGTAGTATTGCTAGACCATAGAGTAAGCGGGTGTTTATGTTTGGCCCTTTGCAATTTCTGTACTATTTTGCATCTCAATAGACAGTTGTAAGCTGTCATGAGGGTGTTGAGAATTGAACCCAAGTTCTCACAAAGAGCAGCCAGTGCTCTTAACCACTGAGTTTTCTAATCCCTCAGAATATTTTTAATAAAAAATCATTCCTTTATCTTAAAGAACTGGGTTTTCAAAGCTTTTTAATTTCTAATTACAGATAATTGACTGTCCATGGGCCTTTGCTGTTTTATCCACTAATCTGTTTTCATTTGACAGGCTGCATTGAATCAGTTGAATGTTGCCACTGAGGACATGTACACCAATGGGTCTACTGTTCCAGGTAGCCCTGCCCATTCTAAAGGGCAAGAGGCAAGGAAAGTACGTCTCATACAGTTTGAGAAGATCACAGAGGAGCCCATGGTAATTTCTTGTCCTATTGTAATCATCATTTATTCTCTACTAGTAAAATCATTGGGCCATAAAACTGCCAATGGCCACTCATAGAATTGTACAATCTGCCAGCTTCACTGTTTTTTGTCCCCATCTCAAGTTTCTTTCAAAGCAAGCAAGCTTCCTGCTTTTTCTATTTGAGAACTGACCCTGATATAAATGTAAATGGTGTTCTCTGCAATTTTTTTCTTTAGATGCTTTAAAGATTATCCTCAGAAAGGGCTTAAAACAAAGCTTACTGTTCCATTGCCTTTATTCCAGGGAATTACTTTGAAGCTGAATGAAAAACAGTCATGTACTGTGGCCAGAATTCTCCATGGTGGCATGATTCATAGACAAGGTACTCTGGCAGGGAGGAGGGATCCTAAGTCTAGTTTTATTCTGGGATTAATTATTTACTCTCTATTCAGTGGTGTGGGACATGAAGTTTATAGTCCTCAAAACTGATATCATTTTTGTGAAAGTGCCAAGAGATTCTTTGAGTTAATAACTCTTTAAGGTGGGCATGGTGGCATATACCTTTAATCCCAGTACTCAGGAAGCAGAGGCAGGTGGATCTCTAAGTTCAAGACAGGCTTGTTCTACAAAGTGAGTTCCAGGACAGCCAGAGTTACACAGAAAAAAAAAACTTGTCTTAAAAAATATACACCCAAACTGACTCTTTAGAAAATTGCATGGTAAGATCTTAGTATAAACTACTCAGTACCACCATCTCTTCCTCTGTACATTTTTTTTTCTTTTGGTATTTCAAGACAGGGTTTCTCTATGTAGCCCTGGTTGTCCTGAAAATGACTCTGTAGACTAGTACTGCTGTCTGGGGGACCAGCCTCCAGCAGCACAGACAGGGCTTTGACAGGAATCCATGGAGTCAGCAAGTCTAAACTTTCTGTCTGAGGGACGTTAGGGAAAAAGACACTCACAAACTCTCTTGATGGTTTTATTCTTTCTTCTTCTTTATTTTCTCTCTTTATTCTCTCCCTTTATTCTGTCTCTCTCATCTCATGTTGTTTTATAGCCTTTATACCCCAACATTTTCCAGGCAATACAAGAGTTAAAACAGTTTCTCAAGTGAATGAATATAGGTAAAAAACATGTTTTTATCTCCCTCATATGATTCAGCATTTTATGTATTACAGGCAAAAACCAATTTATCCCAAGAACCCACATACATTCATACCCAAGCAACTTGTTATAGATTAACCATGTGGCCAGCAAGGTCTTTTACTGTCAGGCTGCATTTTGCAGTTACAAAGAAAGGGCCAATTACTTTATTACTTATCTTTAAAGGTAATCTTATAAGGAATCTTAAAGTAATCACAAACCTAAACTTTTATATATGAAAAAGAATCATTCAGCTCTACTTTAAATCTTTAGTGTACATATCCATTCATTAATAGTTTTTTATATCAGGAGATTGAGGGCATACATGGGTATAAGGAATTAGTCATCACCTTTGGTCATCAACCAAACCTTACAATACGTCAGCCAGTAATAATTGGTCTGCTTTGTTCTTATTCCCTGACTTTAAAGGGTTCTGTATTCAACTAAGTGCCTTTCTAAAACTTTAGATTGTCTTCTTGGGTTTTCCCCTCAAAGTTATTTAACAAAAATATCTTAGTCTAACTTCATTATTTTCAAAGCTTTGTTTCAGCTGTGATGCACTCTGAGACCTGTGAACACATCTCCCAACATTAAGGTTAAGAGAATTTAAGCTAGCTGGGCTACTGGGACTCAGTTGTTAGTCATTAACTTGAGCTACAATCCATGCAGCTCCTTAGGTGAAACTCACAGACCCTGGCTGTGAACCATATCCTTGTATTTATTTTTATTCACCAAAACTCTGTATAAGCTATCATTGTTATTATCAAATTAGACAGTACATCTTGGGGAGGGGTTATCTTGATAATCCACAGGTAAAAATGCCCAGTAGAACGGGATGTTTCTGAGAGATATTACTATATTATAGGCTGTGGAGATCTCCCCACGGCCACTCACACCATGCTAGATACCAGAGAAAGAGAACCACAGCAAACATGGAAAGGCAGAGCAGAAGCAAAAGACATTCCAGGGTCTGAAGTCCGGTGGCCTTGCTTAAACAAGATTGGCCCATCAGGGGATTCCCTTCTGTTGGGCTGACACCTGGAACTTCAATTGTAACTCGCTGCTCCTCTGGCATGGCCAACAGCAGACCAGGCTGGCCTTGAACTCAGAAATCCATCTGTTTCTGCCTCCCGAGTGCTGAGATTAAAGGCGTGCGCTATCACCACGCAGCCCTCTGCACTTCTTATATATTGTTTTATAATGATATTTTTCCCATTTAGTTAATAAGTGACTCATTACTATATGTACCCGTTACATATGACTGATATGTAACAGTAAACAAAGCTATTTCTCTACCTTCCTGGAGCTTGGATTTTCTCATTTATTATAAAATAATAATTTTATTTATTTTATAAACAGCTTAAATGGGGAAACCAAAATTAAGTAATTATAATTAACTATTGTATTTCCTTAATGTTAGAGTGCCAGCAATTTTCAGATGCATCATTTACTAAAATATATTTTAGGGAGCAATGAAAGAACAGAATAATAAGTTAAAATATAGCATGTTTTTGCAGCTGCAGATAGCCTGTAGGGTACTAGAAATTATGCCCAATATTTGGGTATGGCTAATCCAATGAGTCTCCTACATCATTAATTCCTACCCTTTTATGTTTTAATATGTTTTTTTTTATAGTTTTTTGGGTTTTTTTGTTGTTGTTGTTTTTTTTTGTTTTGTTTTGTTTTGTTTTTAGTTTTTTGAGACAGGGTTTCTCTGTAGCTTTGGAGCCTGTCCTGGTACTTGCTCTGTAGACCAGGCTGGTCTCAAACTCACAGGGATCCACCTGTCTCTGCTTCCCCATTGCTGGGATTAAAGGCATACACCACCACTGCCTGGCCCTTACTATATCTTTGTTTGTTCTTTTTTTTTTTAATTCAAGGTAACATGACATGAATTTGGTAACCAGCCTTCACATAGAATTTTAACATTGAATAACCATTTAAAAGCACATTGGAGGGCTGGAGAGATGGCTCAGTGGTAAAGAGCTTTGCCTGCTCTTCCAGAAGTCCTGAGTTCAATTCCCAGCAACCACATGGTGGCTCACAACCATCTGCAGTGAGATTTGGTGCCCTCTTCTGGCCTGCAGGGATACACACAGGCAGAATGCTGTATATATAATAAATAAATAATTTAAATAAAATAAAAACACATTGGAGGTTTAGTTTAACAATAACAAAGAAACATTGAACCTAGGAGCTGGAGATGGCTCAGTGGGTAGGAACACTGACTGTTCTCCCATGGGACCAGGGTTCAGTTCCCAGCACCTACATAGCAGCTAACAACTATTACTCCAGTTCCAGGGGATCTGACACCCTCACATAGACATATAGGCAAAACACCAATGTACATGAAATATAAATAAAATTTAAAAAAAGAAACATTGAACTCACTGGCTAATAGTCTCCTGGAGTTGGCAGCTGTTCTAATTCCAGGAATTCAAAGATGAGATGCTTTTATGAAGCTCTTGGATGACTGATATCAGGAAGGACAAGGCAGTATTGAACTGTCCTAGATGGATTCTGAACCATATTTGTTTATCTCTCTTAGTTAAATATTTCTAATAACTGAGTTTTATTTATTTTCTAAAATACCCTAGATTGTGGTTCCTTTTGTGTGGTATTCTTGAGCTATACTGACAGCTATTGTTTGAATTTTTACTCTTTTGTACATTGAGGTTTTTGTTTGTTTAATGGCAGGCTCTCTTCACGTGGGGGATGAGATCCTAGAAATCAATGGCACAAATGTGACTAATCACTCAGTAGACCAGCTGCAGAAGGCAATGGTGCGTATTTTCTGTACTAGAGAAAGACTGTCTTCTGTATTCATGAAGGGTTAATGGGCACTGGTGTCTATATCTCATTTCTCTGCAAAAGCATGGTTACCTTATTGAGAGGGCTGTTATCACTTCTGATCTTCTGTCCAAGAAATGATGTTTCTCTGCTTTAATTTAGTAAAACTGCAGAGCAGGGCCAATAACTGAACATCAGTCTCATAAAATGACAAGAATGTTGTGCTGGGCATCTAGAGATTGTGGTGTACTGTATTCTTGCTCTGGCTTTGAGCAGGTGGGTTAGCTTCATTCAGTCTGTATTCTCAGAATCTTTTATGTGCAGTATTGTGTGTGGTGTTTGGGCTGCCTCTCCTGTTTGCTCTTCCTGACATTTTGCCATCTTCTTCATTTTGTCTTGTGCTTCAACAAGCTGATTTTAATGTATATATCAGTTGTGCTTCAGTGGATTCAGCAAGAAGTTAGAAAAGGTATTTATGTCCCTATTCTTACTTGCCAAACCTGCTCCTGTAGGTACCAGTTTCACACAGGTGTGGACATCCTCAAAAGATCCAGCAAGAGAGTTCTTCCTGAGGATATGCATACCTGTATGAATACATCTTTCCTGAAACTCTCTAAACTTCCTTTTTGAATATGCTACCTAATTATTCCTGGATTCTCCAGTAATATCATAGTTAGTAACAAGAGTGATGCCAGAAAAATTGACTCTTCAAGTGGGTCTTTCATACTGGCTGCTTGTAAATGAGCATATGCTAAGAAGATGGTACACTAGAAAAGAGCTGATCATTCTAGAGAAATCTAATTCTTATTAGAAAAACATAAGCTAATATGAAACCATAGAAAATAAACAAAAAACTGTTGGCCAACAACTTTTTGAAAATATGCTTAATTCCTACAGCACAATTCATTCTAGGCAGGCTTGGAGTCAGTGGTCCAATGCAGTAGAAATATATGGTATATACATACTATGGAATACTTACTGTTCTGTCTTATACAAGAAGGAAATCTCATTATTTGTTACAACATGGGTGAACCAGGAGGACATTGTATAAACAAGCCAGACACAGAAAGATAGACATCACATAAACTAATATATATGTAGAATCCAGAAAGGCACACCTGTAGAAGTAGAGAGTGGAAGGTCTTGATCAGGGACTAGGGATGGGTGGGGATCATGGAGCAATAAAAGCTATAAAATTCCACATAAATAAGATGAATGCATTTAAAATAACTCCATAGTACAGCATGGTTACTATAATAATTATGAATTATATTTTTAAAAATACTGAGAGTAGATCTCAAGTATTCTCACAACAAAAATAAGTAGTGAGGCAATACATATGTTAATTAACTGTTTAGCCATTATACAATGTATACATAACTTGAAAACATTTGTATGGGATAGTTGAGTGTATTTTTATTATTCAACTTGCAAGAATAAGAGAGGGCTTATGAGAAGCCAAGGACAATGGCACTGGGTTTTGATCCTACTTCATGTTCTGGCTTTGTGGGAGCCTAGCCAGTTTGGATGCTCACCTTCCTAGACCTGGATGGAGAGGGGAGGACCTTGGACTTTCCACAGGGCAGGGAACCCTGACTGCTCTTTGGACTGGAGAGGGAGGGGGAGAGGAGTGGGGGGAGGGGGAGAGGAGTGGGAGGAGGGGAAGGGAAATGGGAGGCTGGGAGGAGGCAGAAATTTTTTTTTCAATAAAAAAAGAAAAAAACAAAGTAAAAAGATAATCTAAATAATCAAAGAAACTATTGTTAATATTTGGTCAGAAAACTTGTATTTAGAACATGTAAAGTACAAATAAAATCTATACCAAGGGGAAAAAAAAAGAGGATGATCATCTATACTTATGGTAACAAAATTACAAAATCATTGAGCTGGGTACAATAGCTCATGCCTATAATAACAGTTCTTAGGAGGTCAAAGCAGACTATCACTTGATTTCCAGGCTATCCTGGGCCATATAGTGAATTCCAGGCTGTATTCCAGAATGATACCTGGCTCAAAACAAGCAAACAAAACCAAACTGAATAATTTTTTTAAAAACTAACAAGTTAAACTTGTATCTACTTGTAGTTATTTGTGTTACCGCTTGGGAGCCTGACGCACAGTGTTGTGGGGTGTTTGTACCCTGTGTGGAAATGTATGGCTGCGTTTGGCATAATAAAAAGCTAGGCAGGACTTCTGGGCAGAGAGAGAACAATGGGAAAAAGAAGGCAGAGTGACCAGCTATATGGAGAGCAAGCAGTATGGGCAGTATGGAGAAGTGAGGGAACAAGCCACATGGCAGAACGTAGATTAAAATAAATGGATTAATTTAATTTACAAGAACTAGTGGGACAAGCCTAAGTTAAGGCCTAGATTTCATAATTAATACTAAGTCTCCATGTCATTATTTGTGAGCTGTCAATCCAAAGAGAAAACCTGAGTACACGGAAGGGTCATTGTTGTGGAATGTTTACACTGTGTGAAGATGTGTCACTGTAATTGGTTTAATAATGAGCTAAAAGGCCAGTAGCTCGGCAGGAGAGAATAGGTGGGACTTCCAGGAAGATAGAGGAACTTGGGGTGAATCTAGGTGTTTCAGAGACGCCAGTGAGAGACATTGAAGAGGTCAGACATATGGTACAGAGGAGAGGTAACGAAGCCATATGGCAGAGTGTAGATCACTAAAATCAGGCTAATTAAGTCATAAGAGCTAGTTGGAAAAAAGCCTAAGGCCAAACTTTCATAATTAATAATAAGTCTCTGTGTCATTATTTGTGGGCTGGCAGTCCTGATGAAAACATACTACTACAGGTCATAGTTTAAGGAAAGCCTCAGCTATATAGAAAAACCAAAACAAAATTACATATGTGTGCATCATGTTTATGTGTGACTATAATATTTGAATCTTTGCATTGGGGTAGAAAAAAGTATGGGTATATTTGTGATCATTTTAGGAAGTTCAAGGAATCTTTTGGGGACCAAGAGCAGAAGAGGAGAAAGTCATGAGGTTTTGCTTTATTATTTTTGTCTTTGGTTATGCTGGCATAGGGAGCATATGACATTCTCATGGTTCAGGAGGTAGTATCTGACCAAAGCTCAAACTATAAAGATGGTTCTATAGTGGAAACTCATGTCACCCAAGTTAGTTTTCTTTACAGTCTCATTTTTCTTTTTTCTTTAAATAGAAGGAAACCAAAGGAATGATCTCATTAAAAGTAATTCCTAATCAGCAGAGTCGTCTTCCTGCACTACAGGTATGTAATACAATTTTCTCTGTTGTGCTGTTTTGTGTTCTTTGAGATTTTATTAAAAGTGACACAATTCTATAACTAAGTTCTGAGTCTCTTACAGGTGTTTATCTGCTTGGTGTAGAATCCTATTATGCATTCTCTCAACTAAAATATAAGAGCTCATCTCTTTTTCTTCTTTCTTTTCTTTCTTATTTCTGTATGCTTGTTCATTTCTGTCCAAGTGCACATGTGTGGATGGCAGAGGACAACCTTGGGTGTTATTCCTTAGGTGTCATTCATCTTTGTCTATATATAGGGGGTGTCCTTTGAGTGTGTATGTGCATGAATACATGTGTGTGTATGAGTGTGGAGGCTAGAGGTTGATATTAAATGTGTTTTCTTTACCTCACTTCACCTTTATTTTTTTGAAGCAGTGTCTCTCAGGGAACCTGAAATTTACTAATTTAGATAGAATGGTTGGCCAATGGGCTTCAGGTATTCACATGTCTCTTCCCTAACTGTCTTCCCCTAGTACTGGAATTACAGGGAGCACATCATCATGCCTGGCCTTTTGAGTGGACTCTGGGAATCTAAACTTAGGTCCTCATGGTTGTGTGGTAGGCACTTTATCAACTGAGATATCTCACTAGTTTCCCTTTCTTTGAGACAAAGTTCCACTGAGCCCCATCCTAGTCTGAATCTCAACAATTAGATTAGGTTGGTTGGCTAGTGAGCCTCAGGGATCCTCTGTCTCTGCCTTCCCAGCTCTGGGTTTATAAAAGTGTATGACACTAAGCTTAATTTTTTAATGTGAGTTCTGAGGATCAAACTGAGTTCCCTCATCCTTGGAAGGTAAGCACTATATCAACTCAACACTCAGCACTTTATTCCTTTTTCTTTGAGGAAGAAGACAATGATAGAGGTGATAGGAACAGGTTATTAGTAGTTGAGGAATAGATGGGACAGGACCTTGGAAAATGGATGTGCAAAAGGTTTGGTTTTTAAAAATATCTCAGGTTGGAGAGATGGTCGAGGACCTGAGTTTGGTTCATAGTACCCACATCAGGTACCTCACAGTAGTCTGTCTATAACTCTAGCTCTAGGGGATCAGATCTTCTGGTCTCCGCAGGCAACTGCACATATGTACACATAAGTAAAAACAAATAAAAATAAATAAAATATCAAACCTGAAATTTCTATCATAGGCTACCTGTAGTATGATAGTATAGTCTTAAGCTTTTAAATTGAAGTTTTGTTGTTTATGTACATACATATAACAAAGTGAATAGATCACAAGTATAAAACTTGTATGTATTCATAAACTGAGCACATAAATTGAGCCAATTCAAAAGTCAGAATATTGTAGATGGAAGTTTCTGTCCTGCACAGTCCTGCAGCCATTCAGTCACAGCAAAACACACAGAGGCTTATATTAATTATAAACTGTTCTGCCTCTTAGCTCAGCCATATTATTTAAGTGGTTCTTACAACTTAAATTAACCCATAATTCTTGTCTATGTTAGCCACGTGGCTTGGTACCTTTTATCAGTGAGGCTTTCTCATCTTGCTTTCTCTGCTTCTGGATGACAGCTGCAAACTGAGCCTTTCCTCTTCTTAGAATTCTTCTAGTCTGTTCATCCTGCCTATACTTCCTGCCTCTGTACTGGCCAATCAGCATTTTATTAAACCAATAAAAATGACAAATCTTTACAGGGTACAGGAGCATTGTCCCACAGCAGAATATGTCCAGCATCTATGACGCCTTATTACCACAACCCTGACTTATAACATAAGAGAAGAATTTTACTTCATTTTGAAATTTATTTAAATTGAACTATATTGTAGGAATTCTTTTGAATGCCATTGCATTTATTCAGAATTGTTAAATTAATCATCCAGGTTACTTGTAGCAATAGATGATTCAGTTTCTCTGATTCATTGTATAAATGTGCTGTAGTTACTCATCCATTCTGATACTGCTGAACTTTTAGGTTTCCAGCTTTTTTTTGCTATGAACTTTGTTGAATGTGTGCTTTATACCTTTACTTTGGGGGATAAAATTGATGGGTTTTAAGGCACAGGTATGTTTTAATTTTAGAAGATATTGCCCAGCAGTCTTTGAAAGTAGTTGTTCCATTTTATATTCTCAAATATACTTGTATGACACTTCTGTTTCTTCCATATTTTTCACCAAAATTTAGAATTGTCTGGTTTTGTTTGTTTGGCCATTATCTGGGTGCATATTATGTCATAATTCTCATTGTATTTCTCTGATAATTGGGAAATGCTTCCTTTACTATTTATATGTTTTTTGCCACTTAAATATACTTGTTTGGTAAAACTTGAATTTTTTCTTACCAAATTGTAGGAGTCTCTCATATTTTCTGAAGTGAAGAGTCCTTTGTCATGTGTATCTCAAATATGCTCCTTTTTAATTTTCTTCATGGTACCATTAATGACTAAAGAAGATTCTAATTGACTAATGAAATCAAAATTGCTACCTTTTTCCCTCATATAATCAACACTTTATGTTTGTTTAATTTTCTTTTTGCTTACAAGGTCAAAAGGACACTCTTCTATATTTTTTTCTAAACCCATGTAGAATTAAATTGATTTTTGTGTAGGTTATTGTAAAGTAAGTGGTAAAGGTTTCAATTTTTCCATATGGATATCAGTAGACTCAATACTATTAATTGAAGTAAACATCCTTTTCATATGATATATGCCCCATCACTTTTATCGTAAGTCATATATGTAGGCATATTTTGTGTAGTTAGTCTATGTATTTATCGCTGCATTAAATCTCCATATCATTTTGGAGAAAGGAGACATCTTTATAAAATCCCAGTAGAAGTGATGATGGTGTAATATTTCTTTATTTCTCAGTATAGAAGAGAAATCTTTTAGTATTTCATTGTAAAGTATGTTGACTGTAGGTTTTTTAGTTTATTTTTATTATTTTAATTATGTGTCTGTGTGTATGTGCATATGAGTGCAGGAGCTTATAGAGGCCAAGTATCAAGATTTCCCTGGAGCTGGTTGTGAGCCACCTAATATGGGTGCTGGGAGTCACACTCAGGTCCTCTGGAAGAACAGTACTTGCCATCTTAACCATCCCTGCAGCCTCGAGCTATAAGGTTTTTGAAGGTATTCATTAGATTCAAGGAGCTACCTTCTGGTTTCTTTCTTTGTGTGTTACTAGTGACAAGATCATATGATTTTTCTCCATTTTATGTTAATGTCACAAACTCTGTGTTGCTGAATGAGATCCTGTTTGATTGTGACTTCATATCCTTATAATAAATTGCTGTGTTTGATGTACTATTTCATTTTGGATTTTTATATTCTTGATCCTCAGAGAAACTAGACAATTTTTGTTAGATTTGGGTATTATGGTTATGAGTTTGGAGGCTTAAAATTCTCTGCTATTTGTATTTTGGTAAGAATAGCTTATTTCTCCAGCACTCGGGAGGCAGAGGCAGGCGGATCTCTGTGAGTTCGAGACCAGCCTGGTCTACAAAGGGAGTTCCAGGACAGGCTCCAAAAGCTACAGAGAAACCCTGTCTCGAAAAAAAAAAAAAGAATAACTTATTTCTTAAGCTGTTTCAAAATTTGACCAGAGAAGAACCATAGGATCTTGTCAAATGTATTGATGTGAAGTTGTTCATAAGATTACATTTTGAGTGTGTGTATACATATACACATGTGTGTAGAGTTGTGTGTACTCTCAGAAGACAGTGGAGGACGTTGGGTATTCTTCTTTGCTGCTCAATGACTTATTCCCTTGAGATAGGGTCTCTCACAATTTCTGTTAGGCTGAATGGCCAGCAAGTTTCTGAGATTCACCTATGTGCCACCATCTGTGGGCAGTCATGCTTGATTATCACAATATCCTATTAAAACCTTTTAAATATCTTTAAGATCTTTACTAGTAAATTGGTTTTTGCTTTGGTTTTTTAAAACAGAGTCTTACAATGTAGCTCTGGCTGTCCTGGAAACCACTATGTAGACTAAGCTGGTCTTGAACTCACAGAGTCCACCTGCTAGAATTAAAGGAGTGGGCCATTATATGTGGCTTTTTTACTAGTAAACTGTAACCTTCCTGTTCTTAATTTCATTAATCTTTTCAAAGAGCCAGTTGACCCTTTTAGGTTTTCTCAATGGTGTTTTCTATTTAAATTCTTTCTGCTCATTATTTCTTTCATTATTTGTTTGAGCTTTATTTATGCTCCTTAATGTTATTACCACAGATGACCATTGTCCAAGTTTGCTTTCTGTTCTATAACAGAACATTCTGACTTAAAGCAACTTGGGAGGAAAGGGTTTATTTCAGCTTACATTTCCAGGTCACAATGTATCCAGCTAGGGTTGAAACTCAAAGCTGGAATCTGAGGCTGGAACACAGAGGAATGCTATTTACTAGCTTGCTCTCTTGATTGCTCTCTCCTAGCTTTCTTACACTAGCCCTCTTGCCCATATGATGATGCTGGGATGATGCTGCCCATAATGGTCTGGCTCCTCCCATATCAAGTCATCAGTCAACACAATTTGTAACAGACATGGCCACAGGCCACTCTGAAGCTATTCTTCAATTGAGGTTCCCTCTTCCCAGATTACTCTAGGTTATGTCAAGTTGATTATTAAAAACTAACCAAGAAAATCAGTATTAAATTCTAATATAAATTCTTCTAGTCACTTTTTTCTATGACTTTTTTTTAAATTTTTGACCATTCTGGGTGTTATTTTGTTTAATAATGTTCTTATTTCATATAGTCAGCAGGATTGCCAAGGACATTAGATATTCTAAAAGTTGAGGTTTTGTGTGGTAATATACTCAGCAGATACTTAACCATTTATCATGAATAAATAAGTATGTCTTAGGAAATTAAATTGTTTCTAATACTTCACTCTTAAAAATAATGCTGTGATACACATGCTTATTTACATAATCATTACGAGCAGCTCGTTTTATGTAAGATAAATGCATAGTAATCAAGGTAGGGCAAAAATGTCGATGATAAACACATTTATATTGCTAGACTGTCCTCTAGAAAAGGGTTTATCAACTTTACCATATTCATAAGAGTATCTTGTCAAGGAAACAGATCCATTTCAGATGGATGGTAGCAGATCTGTACTCTGAGATGGACAACTGAGATTCAATAGCTGGCATTTCATGGAAGATACTTTCTTATTAAAAGAATCAGTTTGGGTTCTTCTCCAAACACAACAGTAAGTAGTTAGGAACATCCAAGCTGCACATGTTTGAGTCTCTGCTACTATTCTTGCCTCATTCCTGCTCATTTCCCATTTCCTTACAGTGGGACTTTTTATGTATATGCTCTCTAGCCACTGGTGTTTTTCCTGAGGTACTCTTTGCCTTCTTTTCCAGATGTTCATGAGAGCACAGTTCGACTATGATCCCAAAAAGGACAATCTTATCCCTTGTAAGGAGGCAGGACTGAAGTTTATTACTGGAGACATTATCCAGATTATCAACAAAGATGACAGCAACTGGTGGCAGGGGCGGGTGGAAGGCTCTTCCAAGGAGTCTGCAGGATTGATCCCTTCTCCTGAGCTGCAGGAATGGTGAGCTACGTTTATGCTGGTGGAAAGCCCCTGCTGTAACTAATTGCTTAGCTTCAGAAATCTGTTTTGTGTATATTTTTCATTTTTCCTACACATATGTCCTAGTTTGCTTTATGTAATGGATAAGGAATGGTTCACAGGAGTTGATATGGTTCATTTTATGGCCATTTATTGCAGGCAAAGGAACTAGTTATAGAGCCCTCCCCCTGCTTCCTGCATACCTTCAACCACTCAGTACTGTTTTTAAGAAAACTTCTAAAACCGGCACATTTTAAGTATGTGTCCTTTATACAGATTCTTGTCCTCTAGTCAGATTGCTCACTTAGTGCAAGGCTGCCCCACATGACCATTAGAGTGGTAGAAAAATCCATATCCACTGCCTGTGGAAAATAACATTACAACCTCAAAGATTATTAGTTCAGACCTAATTATTTCTTTTTTTGAGATTATACTATAATTACATAATTTCTCCCTTTCCTTTCTTCCTTCCAAACCTCTCATATATCCCTCTTTATACTTTTTGAAATTCATGGCCTCTTTTCACACACACACACACACACACACACACACACACACATTCCTAAATACATGAGTACAACCTATCCAGTTATCTATCCAATACCAAAAGGGTCAGCTCTGCAAACATACTATAAACCTTTAGTTTTAAGCCAGAATTCTATTGATCCCATTTCCAGTGATGATAAATAGCACCAAAACACGGGATGTGTTTTGTAGAAATAAATTTTAATGTTAGAGCAACAGAGGAAATACAGTGCAGACCTTGAAAATATTAGTCAAAGCCTTGAGTATGCTGCCTGTGTATTCTGGGCCATTTCAGAGCTAACACCTGGTAATGAGCATTGGAAGATCAGGAAAGGCAGATAACTTGAGAAAGACCCAGGAGGACACAATGTGAAGCTGTGGCTCATGACTTGTTAATGAGGCATGAATCAAGTTAGTAGGCTGTAACAGGTATGTTTTTTTTTTTAAAGTGAGGATCACGTATCATAGCTCAGGCCTGTAATTCAGAATGCTCAAGACTGAGGCAGGTTCAGTGCCACCTGGGCTACATAGACCCTGTCTCAAAACAAAAGATAATACATAGAAACATCAGCATAAATTACACAATGATAGGTGGTATTCTTACTGAAGTTATTGCTTTAGCCATGTATGTGGTTATATATGCATACCTGTGCTTCATTTATAGATTAGAGTTGTTGTATATTTCTTATGGTGAAGTGAGTGTCAGACTGATTTTCCAGCTCTCAACTCAAAGGTGGAAGAATAGGCTGCACTAAGAGGGGGAGGGATTATTTTTTTTTCCACTGCCAAGTACCTGGGTGACCACATAAAACTGCAGAGAAGAAAGGAAAAGAAGTGGGTGAGGCCATCTCTGCCTGAAAAACGTTACAGAGTCAAAGAAGTAGGTCAGTCTCAAAACTTCACTACAGAAAAGAAGGTAGGTATTCTAATGTGTCACATACTTTTATACTGAGGATCTACTGAGCTTTGGTCATTTGTTTCTCACAGGAGAGTGGCAAGTGTGGCTCAATCTGCTCCAAATGAAGCTCCAAGCTGCAGTCCCTTTGGGAAGAAGAAGAAGTATAAAGACAAGTATCTGGCTAAGCACAGTTCAAGTAAGTTTTCTGTGGCTCCTTCCTCCAAGGTCCCAGTAGCATGAATGTTTCTCCACCTCTTTAACCAGAAGGAAAAAGGTGAGGATGCAGTATGTAATGGGATGTTTAGTATATAGAAAGTATTCCATTTCTTTTGGTTTTCCCTTAACACATTTCATCTTCACAAACTCACTGCAGTCAGAAAGACAATCCCAATGCCTATTCTGGAAGGCTAGTAGTCTGTCCACTTTCTGCTTTGTTTTAGTATCTATCATACTTCCTTATCACATAGAAATATCCAACATCCCTCCCAGCAAACACCCCTAATTTCATGCATGGTCTCTCTCCCTTTATTTTGTTTTCTTTTTTGGAGCCAAGGCCTCAGTCCTGCACCACCACGCTCAACTGTATCTCCTTGCTGGATCAGGTGTTAGCTCCTTAACCCCAGCCAGTGCTTTACCACTCCACCTCTGAAAATTAATATGGTTTGATTTTCTTTGTCTCTAGTTTTTGACCAGTTGGATGTTGTTTCCTATGAGGAAGTTGTCCGACTCCCTGAATTCAAGAGGAAGACCCTGGTGCTGATCGGTATCTTTTCACAGCTTTGCTAATTCAAGAGCACAATTCTGTCCTTATTTCCAATCCTGTATTATGTGTCCACCCTTCTTCAAGAAAGGCAGTGAGGAAAAAATGAAGTGTGGTCTTTTGGATACTTCAACTTCATGTATTATAAAGAAGTTTCTGGATCTTACAAGTAATCTATTTGGATCCAATTCTCATTACAAATTTTTCTACTTAGCATCTAATTCTTTTAGATTAGGTTTGCTACATTTGTCCACCTATTTGGTTGGCTTACAAAATAAACAAAAAACTACACAGTAGCTGGTTCCTCTGTGGAAATAGCAATTATGTTCTACATCTTAACTTTTGAGCCTTAGAAAGACTTCTCCTCATGCAAATAGATACTAAGGAATTGAAGCTACAAGGTGGCCTCAAATCTTCTTGATGGCTCTAAGGACTGTTGTAACATCAAAGTATTTTCATCTTGTAGCCACTCTGAGCACTGGGATATAGAAATCCATCTCCCATTCCCTGTATTGTTCCCACAAATGTTTTTGGATGAAAGTGATGGAAGGTTTTCTTTATCCTCACACAGGAGCCAGTGGGGTAGGTTGCAGCCATATTAAGAATGCTCTGCTCAGCCAGAATCCAGAGAAGTTTGTATACCCTGTCCCATGTAAGTATTTCTCAGGTGCCTTACAGGGGAACATTATGCCTAAGAGACAGGCAGCAATATCATATTACTGAATTTAGCATCAGTATTCTTCTGAAATGTCTTATGGTCCTGTTTTTTTAAATGTTTAATAATGAGCACTGAAATTTTAGGGAATGGGGAGATAAGTTCTTGGAAAATGTGAGGTCCTGATTACAGTCTTTGGAATACACATCGAAAAGCCTGGCATGGTGGCATGTACTTTGAACCCATGGAAGTGGAGATAGAAGATCTGTAGCTTTCTTGACTGTGCTCAAAGCCAATGAGAAGACCCTATCTTAAAAAGAAAAGAGGTGTACAGCTCCTGAGAAATGTTGCCCAACAGCTCCTTTATATATGAACATATGCACCAACACACACACACAAAAACCCTAAAAATTTAGAAACATAAACATGTACTTATGAGCAGGCTGGGGAGAGGACTGCTAACCCTAACAACATGAGTCAGATTCCTAGATCCCACATGGTAGGAGAGAACTGGTTCCTGCAGGTTGTCCTCTAACTTTCATATGCACATCATGGCATCTCTCTATCTCTCTCTCTCACACACAGACCAGTGTGTACTTATAATTGCTTGAAATAACAAAATAACTTGTTTTCTTCTTTTATTCCATATAACAGTACCTGTAGTAAACAACATTTTTTTAAAAATTATTGCCGGGCGGTGGTGGCACACACCTTTAATTCCAACTCTCAGGAAGCAGAGGCAGGCGGATCTCTGTGAATTCATTCAAGGCCAGCCTGGTCTACAGAGCAACTTGAAAGACAAGTTCCAAAGCTACACAGAGAAACCCTGACTGGAAAAAAAATTGTTGACAGAGGTTTCTGTCCCACCAGGTCCCACTCTGTTTAGTCCCAAGTAAATACACAGAGGCCTACATTAATTATAAACTGATTGACCTATTAGCTTGGGCTTCATATTAACTCTTAACTTATATCAGCCCATAATTCTCATCTGTGTTAGCCACGTGGCTTGGTACCTTTTTCAGCATGGCAGTCACATCTTGTTTGCTCTGTGTTTGGCTTCCTCTGTGTCTGGATGATGACTGTAGATTGAGCTTTCCTCTTCCCAGAATTCTTGTTGCCCCGCCTCTACTTCCTGCCTGGTCACCCCACCTATACTTCCTACCTGACTACTGGCCAGTCAGCATTTATTTAAAACACAAGTGACAGGGTACAGACTATTGTCCCATGGCACAAAATTAAGACTGTGAATGGGGGCTGGAGAGATGGCTCAGCGGTTAAGAGCCCTGCCTGCTCTTCCAAAGGTCCTGAGTTCAATTCCCGGCTACCACATGGTGGCTCACAACCATCTGTAATGTGTTCTAGTTCCCTCTTGAGGAAGAGACATGGTCAGACAAGTTCAACAGACCTGTCATATACAGGCTGCCCCCCTCATGCATGGTACAATGTGCCTTAAATCTCAGCACTGGGGAGGCAGAGGCAGGTGTATCTCTAAGTTCAAGGCCACCCTGGTCTAGGACATGAGTTTCAGGACAGCCAGAGGTACACAGATAAACCTCTCTTGAAAAACTAAAAAGAAAAAATACTAAGCAAGAACTTTTACGTGTATTACTTTATAAATGATTTCTCAGTGCCCTCTACTGTCTACCTAATTTATCTGTTCTTTCCTTCCACCATATGTTGTTCCCAGAGTTGAACTCAGGTCATAAGCTTTCTGTGGCAAGTGCTTTTACCTACTGAGAAATTGCCAGCCCTAACATTTTAACAAAATGTTTAAATCAAACCAATGTGTTCTTCTTTCCATGTCATAAAAAAGAAACAGGGCTGGAGAGATAGCTCTGTGACTGAGTGCTTGCTGTTCTTGCAGAAGACCAGAGTTTGCTTCCCAGAACCCAACATTAGGCATTTTACAACCACCTGTACCTGCAGATCTAAGGTACAGATTTAAGGCGTTCAGTTCATCCCACAGCGCCAGTTCTGCTTGCCAAAAGTGGCCCACACACTAGGCACTCGCATTCCACGTGCCCGGCTCCATGCCAGTGAGCCGGGCTTCTTACCCATTTAAAGTTTGAGAATAGGTTGAGATCGTTTCGGCCCCAAGACCTCTAATCATTCGCTTTACCGGATAAAACTGTTCTGCGAGAGCGCCAGCTATCCTGAGGGAAACTTCAGAGGGAACCAGCTACTAGATGGTTCGATTAGTCTTTCGCCCCTATACCCAGGTTGGACGACCGATTTGCACATCAGGACCACTACGGACCTCCACCAGTTCCTCTGGCTTCGCCCTGCCCAGGCATAGTTCACCATATGCCTTATTCTGGCCTTCATGGGCATAACATACATGTGCACACACACATATAAACTATTTTTCTAAAGAAACCAGATTTCCATAAATTCTCTACCACAGCCTGTAGATTTATATTGTTTTAGCTTTCCTTTCTAAGTTTCAGTATTCCTGGGTTCGTTGGCTTTATGTAGGAAGAATGATGTAAATATTCTGCATGGGGCTGTCTCTTGAATTTTAAATATATTCTGGGTGGAAGGATTTTCTGGTCTGTACTGCGTCCTAACATCAGCCCTTCAGGAGTTCATGGGAAGAACATCTCTCTATTATATTATCTGCCCCAAACATGGGTAGGGTTTCCATACAGACACTTTGGGCCAAGCCATTAAGAGATGGCAAGGATCAAGAGAGTCCTTGTACACAGATACAACACGGCCACCAAGGAAGAATGAAGAAGAAGGAAAGGAATATCACTTCATCTCAACAGAGGAAATGACAAGGAACATCTCTGCCAACGAGTTCTTGGAGTTTGGCAGCTATCAGGGCAACATGTTTGGCACTAAATTCGAAACAGTGCACCAGATTCATAAGCAGGACAAGATTGCCATCCTTGACATTGAGCCCCAGGTGAGTAGGCACACAAAGGCAAGAACAGTGGGTTCACCCATATAATGGGGGGAGGGGTGATGAAAAGTAGAGCTCCTGGAAACTTGGAAGTTCAGGTTTGCTTCCTAAATTTTTAATGGAGCCAGCCTAATGCAAGAACAATAGTAACTGGAAACAATGCTAAGTGGTATTGGGGATTGGTAATGCTTTATTAGAAGGAATACACTTTAACAGACAGCTGGGTTTGTTGTTTCTTTTTTTCCTTCATTTCCTAGACCCTGAAGATTGTTCGGACAGCTGAGCTTTCACCTTTCATTGTGTTCATCGAACCTACTGATCAGGGCACTCAGGTGGGAAATGGGTCATGCAAGGTGGGTGGAGGTTCACTCCTTCTAGATCATGGTTAGCTGTTTCCTCCAAGGTTAAGACAAAAGGGCATGCATGCTTCATTCAAGAGATAGTAATTAAACAAGTCACGCCGTCATTGTCCTAGATAATACAGATGTTATAACTAAGATGGACAGTTGAGTAAATCTTGAATCTGATGAGACTCATGACAGAGCAGAGGGAGCTATGAAGGACAGGTGTGGCACCAGAACCACCATGGGGTACAGTATGGCTACAAAGGGAGAGGAGTCTGCAAGAGTGGCTGTTTGCTTTCCTCTATAGCATGTCATTCATTGCATTTTAAATTTTTTTGCCTATATTTTATAAGTGTGGCAAAGAGATTATTTTCTTGCTATTGAGAGTCACAATTCCACCATTTGAGGAGGGATAAAAGGAGGATCAAGAGTCCAGCGCCTTAGTTAAGTTACATAGCAAGCTCAAGGCCAATCTGGACTACTAAGAGTTTGAGGCCAGCCTGGGCTAGAGTTCAAAGTCAGAACATATATATTGAGACTGTCACACGAACAAAACAGCTGTTTGTGTTGCTTGTGTATGAATTTTCTGGCTGTCCTTAGTTCTTGTTTCCACTGGGTTAGTGGTTTCTTATCATTCAATCCTTTCTAATTCTGTACTTGGGTATTTCACTCTGATGTTAAAAGTATCCCCACCACCACTACCATGGCATGTATTTCTCTATACATTTTTACTAACGCTAAACATTGGAGCTAGAAGCCTATTGTCAATAATCTTTTTCCTTATCCTAGGATTACAACTCAGTGGTTGTTAAAAATGGCTTTTCTATGTACAAAGGGATGAGGCTTAAGTGGATGGTACTAATGAAGCCTATGCTAGGTTGCTACTGGCCTTTCAGAGGGCTCTATTTATAATTAGGATTAATTTGGGATCCTTTAGTACAGTGGTTCTCACTCAACCTGTGGGCCACAACACCTTTGGCAAACACTGTATCAATGAAAATAACTTGATGTTTAGAGGTCACAACATAAAGAACTGTTTTAGCCAGGTGGTGGTGGTGCATGCCTTTAATCCCAGTTTGGGAGGCAGAGGCAGGTGGATCTTAGTTGGCCTAGTCTACAGAGCAAGTTCCAGGATAGCAAGGACTGGTTACACAGAGAAACGGTGTCTTGAAAAACAGACAAACAAAAAAAAAAAAGGAAAATAATAGTAGATAGGGAACCAGTTAATATAACCAGTACCTGATCAAAACCTTCCCTTGGCTGCTATGAATTGGGGCTGCTGCTTCAGCTATGGCTCTCTTCTTTGCAAACTGAAGCCCTGCAGCAGCTGCAGAAGGACTCTGAGGCCATCCGTAGTCAATATTCTCACTACTTTGACCTCTCTTTGAATAATGGTGTTGATGAAACTCTTAAGAAATTGCAAGAAGCCTTTGACCAGGCTTGCAGTTCTCCACAGTGGGTACCTGTCTCCTGGGTTTACTAAGCTTACAGAATTGGAGAACCTGTTCCAGCCTCTCCCCAGCATTCGGAATGCCACCCCTCGCTTAAATCAAACAGGGCTGCTTCATCTTCTAGCTATCTGCAACTATGCGAAGTATATCAGTAGGGCTTAAGTCTTCTCACTCAGGCTACTAAAGGGCTGAAGTTTAACTTTCCTACTACCTAGATTTCAAAATGATCTCTGGAAATTGGCAGTGAGTACTATCCAATGCAACTGCTGCACAAACAAAGCAACCGTCCTCATCCCTCTGATGCCTGAGCTTCTTCTACTCTGGATTAAGTATACTCTGAAACTTTCTAAAATGCCAAAAATCTAAAGCTGCTCTAGAGAAACCCTCCAAAGCAATAAAAAAAAATCTCTGCTATGTTAAGATGCTGGTGACCTTGTAACTACATTTCAACGTCTGCACCACAATCCCCTAAAAAGCCAGGTTTTATCTTCTTAAACCTACCAGGCAAGATGCTTTTCTGGATTTAACATAGAGGTGAGGTTCTTTACAGCAATGTCCTTGAAAAACCTGCCACTGCTACTACAGGTCTCTAAAGGCTGGTGGTTATAGAGCATAAATTATCTTCTCTAGTAGAAGCCACTGTGAGCACTTTTAAGCTTCCTATTAAGTCATACTAGAATGAATGAAAATATATCTTACAGAAACAAGAGCTGAGGGCTAGGGGTGGGACAGGCATTTCATACCTGCTTAGGCCCAGGTGCCACAAATGTTTAAAACTTCTGCTGGTATTCTTGGATTTGAACACGTTTAAGCAATTATTTATTTGTAACACACCCCCCTGTAGTGATGAGGCAAGTAGGCCTGCTTTTCATCCGGCCTGGCTAGCTTTACACACGAAATAACAACACACTGATGTAGGTGGGTCATCTGTCTATCTGTTGCTTTCATTGGTTAATTAATAAAGAAACTGCTTGGCCTCATAGGTCAGAACATAGGTGGGTGGAGTAGACAGAATAGAATGCTGGGAAGAAGGAAAGTGAGGGCAGACGCCATAGATCCAGCCGCCAGGTCAGACATGCTGAATCTTTCCTGGTAAGCCACCATCTCGTGGTGCTATACAGATTACTAAATATGGGTCAAGCAAGATATGAGTTAGCCAAGAAGAGGCTAGATATAATGGGCCAGGTAGTGTTTAAATGAATACAATTTGTGTGTTGTTATTTCGGGTGTAGAGCTAGCCATGCAGGACCAAAAGCAGGCCTGCCCACAGCTCATCACTATACCCTTTCTCCCTGCTTATCGTGCAGTCCACACCATAACTGGAAGTTTCCTACCAGCAAAACAGTTATACCCCCCAGCCTCACTGACACACTACATAACACATATACTTTGGAGAAAAATGGGTTTGTATTAATCCCCCTTGAGAGCAGCTAACTGCATGTGATAGGCCCCAAAGACACAAAATTGCCAAAGGAAAAGCAAATTTCAAATAGGACAGAGAGATTCCCATTTTTATTAAAAATATTTTCATTTCTGTTCTGCCAGCCTAAGATTATTATCAGTTAGTAAACCCAACAGAAATACTTTTAAAAAGCTACAAATCACATTCTTCTCCCAGCAATGAACAAATCCATTCTTCAAAAGAAAATGAACATTAAAACAGGAGGGTATGGGAATGCTTTGGCTCCCCCCTACAAACACAACACCACACAGAATGCTAGCCCAAGCACCATGGACACCACAAGACCAGCAAGACACATACCAGAATAGAACAGCCCTCACAGGATACTGCAGATAAGAATTCCCCAGTGAACATGGTTTAATTACATTTCTTCTTTTACTCACAGAAGGTCCTATGCTATTTTATTCAGCAGATTTAATTTTTACAAACATTAAAAAAAGCAAACTAGGAGAGGACTATCTATGGCATTGTTTAAAATGGCCACTAATAAATAGCTGCAGACAGTTACTAGGCAGTTTCATGTCTGAAGGTGTGTTCCCCCACTCAAGCAGGGGGGTCAGTGGCAAAAACCTGCTTTTCATCTTGCATATCCTTAAAACAGGACAGGACAAGATGGCCACATCCTAACCACTGAGATCACAAGTGGCAGCTAAAGTGTACCAGAACTCTGTATTCTGTTTGGGACCTCTGTTCTACTCCCTCAACAAAATGTTTTCTCAATAAGGCTTTCATTTCTTTTCCCAGCTTGACATAATGATTCAAGTTGCTTTTACTATTCAGACATATCTTCCACCACTTTTACTTTCTTCTTCTTTTTCTTTTTGCTGGTATTACTGTCCTAAAGAAAGAAAAAAATAAGTACCCATTGCCAAAACATTTATAACTCTTCCCAAAAAAAAATCTTGTAAATTACAGACAAGTCTGTTCAGGATCTTTAAGGACATTTGGGATTAAACAAATTTTGCCTGTGAACTGCTTCTCAGTAAAGTCCTAGAGGTCTACTTTCACAAGGGCATTGAGCAATTAAGATACACTCTTCCCCACCAACCAGCAACATAATTCAAATCAAGATCCATTGCTCTAAAATGCTGGGTGCTCCTACTTGTCTGTCCACAGAGGGGCGGGGGTGTGTGGACAGATAGGAAAAATCCAAAATACAGGGCAGCCCAAAAGAGGAAATGGTGGAACCCCATTCCTGCACCACAATCCCTGTCAAAGACTCAGCCAGCACAAAGGTACCCAATGTTTACACATACCCCATGTCCAGCTTCGCCCCCACTTTCTAACACAGTTTTAGGCTTCTTATCCTTCTTATTCTTCTTTTCCTTCTTCATTAACTGGGAAACTACTGGAGAGTTCTCATCACTTTCACTCTCCCGCTTCCTCTGAGAGAAAAATAATTCATCCAGTTAGAAATGTTGGAAGTTACCAAAAAAGATTCCAAGTAAACCCAGCAGTAAATTTTGTGTCTATAGACTTGAATAGTGCCTGACTTATTAAAGATTTGAAGACAGTATCTCACTAAATAATAGTACAGAGTAAACCATGGGACATAATGGGTGTGCCAAAGCAGTTTGGGGTATAGAAGACCTTAAAAAGGCTGCCTCAGTAAACTAACTCCTTGCTCTCTTAGGTGCTCAAATAGGCACAAATCACCAGTTCAACCCACATAGCTTATTACTAGTCACCCAGGTTTCTAACTGCAGACATAACATTTGGGATTATAATGACAGTGGCCCCCAACCTTGGGGAGCCAAGTTACCAACATATTCTTCACTCTTCCTTTAAAGAGTAAGCTAGTATTGACTGAAGATCTTTGCTGGTATCTGACAATTCTGCCCCCTGCTGAGTTTACTAAGGGCCTCTGACTTCAGCACATTTATGCTACCTATCATTTAACCCAGGGTAAAGGCAAAATGTATCACACACATTCCATACAAGGTTATTGCCACAGCGGAGGTAGGAGCCTAGGTCTGATTCTTAAGCCCACACTCCCCCTACAGCAGACATAACACAACCTCAAGTATCAAACAATATTTGTGTGTGGACTACAGCATGGATAAAGCCTTCCTTGGTAGCTAAGACATTTTTTTTATTAGTTTTCAAGACAGAGTTTCTCTATGTAGCTCTGGTACTTGCTCTGTAGACCTGACAAGCTAGCCTGGCTTAAAGCACATTTCAAACAGGTCATACCACTTACTTTTATGACTTTTACCACATCAGCAGTTAATTGAGGGGTTTGTATTGCTTCAGCAACCAGTGTTTTCCTGCCAGAATCACTGAAAGACAAAGAGGTAATATGAGGTTAAATTCATGGGAGAGCTTTCCATGGTGGTTCATCATGTCACGTGCCCTGTTATTCAGTGATACTGGGCAACCCTAAAGGGATTCTCTCCATAGTCCATACCCCGACTGGTAGGTAGGACCAAGCCTGTATAATAGTAGTTACCTAGGCTTCATAGAGCAAAAGAAGGAAAAGAAAGCTGAGCTGCAGTGTTAGGACCTATGGCCTAGCATTTAGCAGCTGCCCCCAAATAAAAGTTTCCAACTCCCCTTGGCTATCTGGTCTCCTGTCTCACTTATTATCAAAGACCAAATGGTAAGTATCACCCCAGTCCCAGGCACTATCCTTACCTGTAGTCAATGTAGTCCTGTTTCCAGGTGACAGGGGTGTTTTCTGTGGGTTTGCCATGCTTGTCCAGAAAGCCCTGCTTGATCATCATCTTCTTCTGACTTGCCTAGAGCATTTCAAACATTAGATTATTATCAATACAAGAAGTAGCCACGGGGGCTGGAGAGATGGCTCAGCGGTTAAGAGCATTGCCTGCTCTTCCAAAGGTCCTGAGTTTAATTCCCAGCAACCACATGGTGGCTCATAACCATCTGTAATGAGGTCTGGTGCCCTCTTCTGGCCTGCAGATATACACACAGACAGAATATTGTATACATAATAAATAAATAAATATTAAAAAAAGAAGTAGCCAGTATGTTCACAATATCTAACTTTACAATGGCTTGAGTGAAAAGACCTTCCCCAGATCTATGTAGCTTTAATCCCAGCACTCGGAGACAGAGGTAAGTGGTTCTCTGAGTTCAAGGTCAGCATGGACTACAGAACGGGTTCCAGGACAGCTACACAGAGAAACCCTGCCCAGAAAAAACAAGAAAACCTTTTAACTGTGGATACTCCAGAAACCAAGAGACCTCCTTCACATTTGACAGTCATTGTTCACCACCCAACAGTGATGATTTAAGTAATGCCCAACTGTTTCAATCAACTATACTGAGAATCTCTAAAGTCCAAGATAGGGCATGCCTCTGCTCACCATCAATTATCTAGAGCCCCAAATAATAAAAGGCTATGGCAATGGAGACGCACAAAGAGCTGCATGAGTAACACAAATAAAACCCAGCGAGGGCTACCACCCAGTACCACTTACCTTTGGACCCAAACCCCACTTCCGAGGATAAGTGTCTCTCTCCATGATCACCCTCTTTATCTTGGCTACTATACCATGATCACAGGTAGAAATCACTGCTGTAGTCATCAATGCAATAGCTGTAGGCATT